AATAGCTAAATGGATAGGTATCATATCTTGTTTTGTAAAACCACATCCTTCATTCACCGGGACGGAGGAAACATTTCAACCCCCCTATGCTTAGTGTTTTGTCCAGACTTGTGATGGATGAAGGGGCCCGGCGACACACACCTGCACATCTCATCCACCGCCGCATCATAACTAAAGGCTCGGCATGGCCGGGATGATCTCCTACATCCTTTAGCCTGCTGCTGTCAAACACCATAATTCTCCGAAGACAACTCTGTCACATCAGCCGTCCCGCCGCAAAGATAAAGCCGCCTTCGATGAAAGACTGCGGCAAGTCCATCAAAAAAGAACAAATATGCCGCTGCCTACACCAGCTGGTGTGCTGCTGGACTCCCAGAGACGGAAGTCTGAGCATCTCGCCGGGCTGCCAGAAACAATGAGGCGTAGCTGTAATGAATAGGGCGACGGCGTGGTTTAATGAAATGAAAGCTTTTTGTGTTATCTTTTTTTTTCTTCTTTTAAGCTAAAAGTGTGCTCAGCGTAATGGATTTCTAGCAGTATGAGACTCATTAGTGCCTTGAAGAGTTGTGAGATCCCAAGCAGGATACTACTGTTCTGATGGTGTAAGATTAAAGTAAAGGAGCAAGAAAAAATTTCAGAACTCTACACATCCCTTTTGTGTAAGTCATTATATTATATTTTAAAGTTCTGTCACTGCAGCTGATATGACAAGAATAAAGACTTGAGGTTCAGCGTTCGCAGCTCTCAAAGTACTTACTTTAGCACCAACAGAGCAGTGCTCCTAATGAACAAAAGTTCAGAGAGTGGATGGTTGAACTGTCAGAAATCCTGCACATTCTAGGTATAGAGCCTCGCAGGATTTGTGCATCAAGTCCACAAACTGACTTTTATGAACTCAAAAATAGGCTGCGGCAGGTACAGTCTGCAAAATAAAATGGATACAGATAACCTCTTCTTAAGCGCAATTTGTACAATGAGACCTTTTATCAGAACCAAAACAGAATCCTTCGACTTTACTCGCTGATTCGGCACAAAGGCACCTGGTCGTTGCGGCTTTGTGTGCTGATTATCTCGCAGGCGTTTGTTTCGTTTGAGGTATTTTTTCTGGAGCATTAAACCATACGTCGGAGCCGTGAACAAACTTGCGGGTTTTACAGCCTGCAGACGCACGCGGGGATCCTGAGCGTGAACCTCCTCTTTGTTTCCTGTTTGACAATGACCTTCATAGACGCACTGGGAGCATCGCACAAAAAACACACAGTCTCAACAAAAGACTTGCCAGGCAAAACACAGGTGTGTTTCCTCTGAGCATACATGCATTCCGAGATAATAGCACACCGTGAGGCTTTAAAGGAGGGACCTCTGGGAAGAGATCAAACATCACAGGCAGTCAGATCAACGTGCTCCTCTCTTATTTGGATTCACCGCTCTGTGAACACAAGCTGTAAGGTGACACCTCTCCATCACTGTCTCTAACAGATAACAGAAATATGCACACTTTGTGCAATGTACGGAATCAGAGAGGGAAGCAGAGCAGAGACTGACATCCAAACACCGCTGTAACCCTGTTCTGCTAAGACAGAGACAAGTTATGGGGGTTAATATTCCCTCCCGTGTTCCCACCAGCCCAGGTAATTTTGTTATTCCGTTTGTGGCCTCTGTCTACACCCACCCCTGTCTGCTGTACATAATGGTCCCAGCCCAGGGAGGAAGCAGGCATTTACTTATACAAAACCTTGAGGAAATCCCTACCAATCCTCAGGGCTCACGTTCAGCAGCTCCCGAAACACAAAGGCTATGCAAATCTGCCCAGCCTGCGTTTATCTACCCTCGGTTTCCGTTTGCACCGCGGGAACCAGCATTGTGCCGTGCGTGGCGATTATCGCATGTAATTTACATAGAATACGAACAGGAAACAGTGAGCTGATCTCTAACAATGCAGGAAAGGAGCCTATATCGGCTCAGAACCTATCTGACTGCACAGCAAAATTACAGGTTTTAGCTGAGGGGTATTAAACCTACAAGGTGTTTTTTATTTTATTCTAGGTGTGCAGGGAACACTATCTGCTCCAAGTGTTGCTTGTTTATCTGCCTTGTTTGTTTTATAACCAAACTCTAGAAGCCCTTTCCCAAGAAAGGTGCGTCTTCAGCCGGGCTAATCTGCCCTCTGCCTATGTTTCCTTTGTGGCTGTATCCATGTATCGACACAGCGAGGCGCAGTCATATCAAAGAGGTGTGTAACTGCACAACGACATTCATGCTAATATAGCTGGAATATAGCATGTGTGTGTGTGTGTGTGTGTGTGTGTGTGTGCGTGCGCGCGCGACTGACTCAGCTGACATGAGACGGGTTGTGAGTATGAGCAATGGAAGTCATAACACTGCAGCATGGCTTCATCCATACAAAGGCTGGTACTGTAAGTACTCTATCAGGAACTTGAGACATGAGGGCGAGATGAGAGATCAAATTCCTGATGTGGATGCTTCACCTGCAGGGATGCCTGAGGAGGAAAACACAACTTGCTGCCTACCTTTTGGATTGGGATCATGTGGAGGTCATTGCACATAATGAGCCGCTTTCTGCTCTCACATCAGCTGCATGTTAAGGCATTGATGCACATTTAATGACTATAAAATTGCATCATAAGGAAACACAACCGCAAACATCGTCAGGAAAGTAAGAATGCAGGGGGGAAATAAAAACCTAAAGAGCTCCGAAGCCGTTTCACAAAGGTGTCGAAATCTTCTGTCACACCCTCCGAACGTTCTTTTTTATTTAGGAGAAGCGAAGGCCGCCAGAGGGAAAATGGCAGTGCTTCCCTGCAACTAGCGACATCGCTTTTGATCGACCTCAGACAACCTGTGAAGGCTGTGGAAATTTGCTAATGAGCCTGTGCGGTTTGACAAGTGAACCATTTGGCTCTGATGCATGATAATGGCAATATATATCACATATATGTTGGAGTTCAGTTGTGATAATAGCCTCCCTCTTGCCAAGTCTTACTTACGCAGAGCAGAAACCCATCTGATTTAGTTCCAAGAAGAAAGGCAAAAGTACACTGCCATCATTAATATAACACTGATGCTTTCAGAATGGCCCTCCGAAGGCCAGTCACAAGCCTACCATGGGTTTCTCTCAGCACAATAGGAACCCTTACAGGCTTATCATCCCCGTCATCTTCATCATTTTAATCATTGGCGGTATGATGCGGCTCAGTCATCAGTTATGAGTATGACACTAGTGACTTTCCTTTTCCTCTAAATAAAATCGGCAAACATAAAAGCAGGCCTGTTGCAGCAAACAAACTGTGGACTGATAGAGACATTCAGAATCACACCTCTGCAATGTCCAAGTTAAGAATAATTATAAAAGGAAATCCTGTTACACTGGGTTAAGATTTGATACGGGGGTTAATGCTTCAATCTGCCCGAGAGCTATGATCCATACACGTTTGGTGCACCACCATGGCAAAAGAACACACAACCACAAATATATGACTGTTAACAACTGCTTTGGGGTTTATTTTACAATTGAGAAAGAAATTAAACAAACTAATTGGTGCTAAAAAGTTGTTGGGTTTTCTGCTTTTTTTATTTTTTTACCTTTTTTACAATATTGTTGATAAAACATTGAAATGTATAGTCATTGTGCATCGCTTATTTATTTTCCACACCATTTCATGCATCAAATTGGATGCAAGTATAATTAAAATCATTTCTGTAAACCGAGCCAAAGAAGCTTAATTTGTATTTTCTTTAGAAAAAGGACATTTTGTAGCTCTACAGCATATATCTATGTACACCATCTGTTTTTATTTTTTCCCCATCATTTTCTATATAAAAATGACCATATAAAAGTTAGAGAATGCACACACCTTAAGATACAAAGAATGCTGAGCCGTTTCAAATGGTAAGATATGTCTTATGGAGTACTGACATTTTCACTGGTGGTCATTTACATGTAACGGACTGTTCTCTTTACAGCTGAATAAAGCAACACAATTCAGAAAGAGAAGGTCGTAACAAACCATACAACTGGAAAACTGCTATAAGGTGATACTTCACAGCAAGGAAAGATTTTTGTTGACCAAACTTGGATACCGATGCCCATTCACTGTCACCAACTGACTCGTAACCATGAAGCAGCATGTCAGTTTTTCCAAAAGATCTTGCTTCTCTAATGCGCCGGCAGATGTATGAGAAGGGTCATTCATCATCAAAAGAAAAACTCTCTGCTGACAAAAACCCAAAGTGGAGAGTGGAGGGTGAGGGTGAGGGTGGGGGTGGGGGGAGAGGGGGTGTG